GCTTGCCTAGTTGTCACGAGGTGCCACATGTCGCAATTTCACTGGAGGGCCAAATCTGCCCTCATCAGATACCAAAGTGCACATTCGAATGTATGTTTGAACACGGAATTACAAAGTACATACTGTATTTATGTGACAAGAACGTTTTTCAGACAAGCAATGCCAAATCATGTTTCATCAAAAACTTATTTATATGATCCAAACTAGGGTAAAAAAAAAATTAAGGTACCTTTTCTATTTTTATCTTCTGGTAACATGGATTTCACTACTCAAAGAGTAACAAGGCCAGATACAACCATATTACTCTCTGAAGTCTAAACATATCGAAAGCAACCGCTGAGAAGGGTAAAATAGTCTATTCTCCCATACAACAGGATTTGGTCACCAAAACAAATAATTTCCTCATGAAATGATTTTAATAGAAAGATCAATCATTTTCCTATTTGTGTTTCGATTAACTCAGAAAACAGACGTTTCCCTACAACTATTACTTTTTTTTTAAATGTATGTTTTCCACGCATGTTTTAGTAGTTTAATGCAACCACCAAACACCAAAAGATTAGCACTTAAAATTTTTTTTTTTGACAGTCTGTTTACCTTCATTATAGTGTATCAAAACAGATCCCTGACCAAAAAAAAAAAAAAAGGAATTCACCCAAAGCCATAATCATGGTTAACGCCCATGAATTTATGAAAGAGCCTTTCAAATGTTAGTAACAGATTACAAGCTCCTGGTAAAAGCATATACACAAGGTTCCACATCCTTCTACTTGGATCAGATATACAAGGTTCCACAATAACATGACATTAGCTCCTGAACCAAAAAGGAGTATCACTTTAAGTTAAAAATAAAATCTTGAAACCAACTCCTGTAAAAATGGCTATTCTGTTTTTCCTCGCAGTTCTTGGTAATGCCAACTTCAATTGTGCCCAATGAAAGTGATTATGGCTTGGATAAGTGTTAGAAGTAGAAATCATCTCCAACAGTATATCGACATTAGCACCGAAGCAGGTCCAACTATCATTGCTCAAATTAGTAGTACCTTGGACCAGGAGGAGCGCATCCTCCAGATTGTCGCCATTCACTGGTTGGAAAATTTTCATAGGAAGGTCTGGGAGGTGGTGTTCCATTAGGGGGACCTGCAGACAAAGGTGGTGTTCCATAAGGTGAACCTGCAGACAAACAATCAAGTCTTCCATTATCTTTACAGAAGTGATGAAATAAATAAAAAAAAAAAATTGTGGAGAGACAAAAGAGACCAAGAAAAAAAACGGGAGACAGGACTGAATATGCAAATAATTAATACGGCCGCTGATAATAATGTTTAACGGGAGACAGGTTCCTCTTAGAATCAATCAGGAGACCCCCATAGTATTTAATAAGACCATATGAAAGACCGGTGAGAATGTAATGGAAGTTGTAAGTATTCTGGAATGTAGGTTCAATCATAACCAAGGAATGCCGTGGCCAGCCACAATATCATAGATTCGCACTGGACCTACTTGTGTCCTGGAAAGTAGCATGGCTTGACCTTTTGTCTGGAAAGTACATGAAAGGATGCTTACCACAGCCTCTCTAGTCTATTACTTACAAAAAAAAAATTGAATTCTTGTACATTGACATTGTGCTGCTAGAATGGCTGAGGGTACGTTAACAGTTTTTTTTTTTTTTTTGATAAGTGGATAAAGAGAATTGTGTTACTATAAAGAGGGCAAGATGCCCACAAAGCAAAGCTGTACAAGAAACTATACAAGTAACATTAAAGCATGTACAATGATTTCACAAAAAGAAATCAAAAGATAATTGAAATCCAATCCTCTTTAAAAGCTGACAAATGAAACTCCAGAAAATTGATGGCAACACTCTGGTTCATCGGACTAAAGACCACTCAATTTTGCATAGCAGTTCCTCTGCAATAGTTTTTCCTGAGAAAAATCCTGCTGCCTCACAGGGAAGGGCATCAGATCCCACAGAATTCTTCCCTTAGCAGAGGAAACAGCCATCTCTCCAGGAGCCCAGTCACTGACTGGGGAACTACCATTACCTATGAAAAGCTTTAGGAAGTGATTCCAGATATGATGGGTAACTGGACACTTTGAACAGTATATAAAGTATAAACAGGATAATATATGGATTTTCATTTTTTTTAATAGGTAATATATGGATTTTCATTGATAAGCACAAGGGCCCAGAAGAAATGGGGGCAGACCAAAAAGGATAATAGGTTGAAGTTGTGTCAAATGATTTGACGATCAATACTTTAACAATGGATTTGGCACTGAAGACAGTGGAACAGCGAAACCCGATTCATTTGATCCCAAATTATTGGGACAAGGTTTCATTGGGTTGAGTTGTTAGTTATGTTTGCAGTGTCTAATACTTGTATATTTCATAATGTACTGCATCATTTATATAAGAATGTTTTATGATATCAAAATATTAAGAGTAAGAAATTAAAGTACAACTGATTTCTATCCAAAAAATAATAATAATATAGTATGACTGATGATCGGATGAGTTTGCTATCATTGATTAAGCCATAAGTACCTAAAAGCATAGTTTTCAAGGCGCCAAGGTGAGGCTAGGTGACAGAGGGGCGCCTTCTCGCCTAAGCGATGGATTTTTTTATGTAGAAAACATAGATGCTAGGGTAGTTCCCTAGGTACCATAACCATATTTCCTTAATAATTATTCATAATTTTCACAAGTATAGAGTTCATATTAAAGTATAGAAAATCAACATTTTTTTTTGATGAATGAAGAAATTTATTAAATCAGAAGAAACACCACTGAAGAGGCACGAGCTGTTACCTCTTCAGAAAAGTATTGCATCAAAATAAAACAGAATTAACCATAAATAAAATTACAAAGCAGCCCAAAATAGCTGCTCCCTTGTAGCCCCCTGCTTAGCTAACCCATCCGCTAAGGTGTTTGCTGATCTTCCCACCCATAGAGAGGTAACAGTCATATTTCTTGTAAGCCAGTTTACTCTCCTTAATAAATCTCTATGTTGCCACATGGCTGAAGCTGGGTCTTTCGACCAT